CCACTGTCAGTGTTCATACTCCCCCTTCCTGAAATAGCAAGCTGAGCCACTTCTGTGGTCAAAAAGCAAAAACAAAACAAATATCCCCAGGTTCCTGTGGGTTTCCATTTCTGCCCTTGATGGAGTACGCCTACCGCCCCGGAAAGTCTCACTGAGGATGTGTGAAAACCCCCCGGTCGGGCCATCTGCTCCCCGGCCTACGGGGAGGTGGCCGCGAGGCCCCAGGCTGGGCCCATCCTGCTCTGGACACACCTGTCTCCTCCTGAGTTTGCCCGGGTGGACCTCGCACCTCCTCCCCTCCCTCCTCTTCCTCCTTCCTCCTCTTCCTCCCCCTGTTGAGGCTGACTGAAACCCCAGCCCCCCAGAAGACTCCAGCGTCCGCCTGGCTCTGCCCGCTGCTGGCGTCGGGACTGGAGAGCTGTGCTCGGGGGGACCTCAGACCCGTGCTCCGGCTCCCGCACCCCCCGATTCCCTGGCCTGGCACCTCCTCCGGCTTCTGAGTGCCCCGCCACCCCTTAACGGCCACTTGCCTGTCCAAGATGACCTTGATCCCTTCTAAAACCGCGCTGCCCCTCCCCCAGAAGAGAGGCGCCCCTCATGTTCAGGCGTCCCCCGGGGGGCCTAGTTGAGGCAGCGCTGACAGGCCTGCTGGTGGAGCGAGGGATGGGGAGGAGGGGGCAGGGGGGCGCTTCCGGGAAGGCTGAGCTCCCCGGCCCCTGGTGACCACTGTGTGACCTCCTGGCACCTCAGTGTCCTCATCAGTTAGACGAGGGCAGTGACACACACGTCACAGGCTTGGGAGGATTCAGCTGCCTGCTTTGTGTAAACAGCTAACGGCACTTGGTGTGTCAGGGGCTGTAACTGGAGAGGGTTGTTGCCGAGGAAGGGCACGCGGGCCAGGTTGAGGGCTGGGGAGCCTTGGAGTCTTTGGGGCACAGGATGGACACGGTCCCTTCCAGGTTTCAGAAAGCTCACTCTGAGGCAGGAAGGGCATGGGGTGGGGGAGGGTTGGGGGAGGGGTGGGTGGGGGAGCCAGGCAGGAGGGGCCGGGGCAGTGGCCTGTCAGGCAGAGGCAGAGGGCAAGGTGACAGGGGCTCAGGTAGGACAGAGAATCCAGAGCTGGAGTTGGCAGAACACCGTGACCAGAGTCAGAGATGACTCGTCCTCTGGCCCGTGTGGCTGGGGACCGCTGAGGTGCGGTTTCTGGAGGAGTAGCACACTAGTGTGTTTAGCCACTGCCCCACCCCCCCACCGAACCCTCCAGAGTAGAGCCTGGCTTCCTCCGCTCAGCTCTCTTTAGCAAGCATATGAGTCCCCGAGGGCAGGGAGTGTGCCGCAAAGAAGCCACACTCGGGACTTCATTGTGGGACGAATGAGCCCACCCTTCAACACTTTGAAAGGAAGCCGTCCTCACGCCCCCAGCCCCATCCCCACAGCCATAGCCCGGGGAGAAAAACACCCCGTCCTGCTGCCGTGTCCCTACCCTGATGCCCCTGCTGCCTGGCTTGTGTCCCGAGCAGCTACCCCAGCGTCCATCTGGCCACAGGACTCAAGGCGGGACCCGGGATGGAACTGAGGTCAGGCCAATTTCGAAACCAACGTCATGAAAGCCACAGTTATAGGGAGCTGACTGCCAGCCCAGCCCAGGCATTGTCCTGCAGGGTGGGCCCGCCTGCCTGGCCAGATGAGGGCCCTGCCCGGTCACAGGGCCGGGGCTCAGAGTGCGCCTCAGCCCCTTTGGGCACCGGGGGGCGGGGGCCACATCTGTCTCGTCCACCATTGTGTCCATCCCCAGTGCCTGGCACATGACCGTGCAGCCTGTGAAGGGTCACTTGGCCCCCCTGGGCCTCAGCTCTGTGTGAACAGAGAGACTGAGCCTGCTGTTCAGGACTGCGGAACAGTCGCTGGGATCACAAGCTGCACGCACCCAGTCCCTTGGGTGCTGTTGGTCTGACAGGTGCCCTATGACCCTGTGCTCTCAGGTGCCCGGTGCCGGCAGGGGCCAGGCCTGGAGCCAGAGGAAAGGGCTGTGACAGAGGGGGACGTGGGATAGTGCCCAGGGTCAGAACACCAAGGGTCTTACTCCCTAACCTTAAAACGTCAACCGGTCCTGTCTTGCCCCACAGCCCTACCTAGGGTACGACACTTGCCAAAACAGGGGGTGATTTGTGTGATCAAACACTGGCCCGAAAAAGCAGGGGACCAGACTGTCTCTGTGCACTGTGGTGGAGCTGATTTAAGACCTGGCCTGCAAGGATGGATCCTAGAAGGGTACAGAGGGGAGTGACCTTGGCTCTGGTAAGCCCTCGGAGTCCGCACAACCTCAGCTAGGTAGAAGTGATGGTTGCACAGCATTGTGGAGACAGGAAATGCCCCTGGACTGTACACGTTAAAGCGGCTGATTTTTTGTTATGCAGTCTTCGCCTCGATTTAAAAATAAAAGAGCTGGGGGTACCTGGGTGGCTTAGTTGGTTGAGCTCTTGATTGCAGCTTTGGTCATGATCCCAGGGTCGTGGGATCAAGCATGGAGCCTACTTCAGATTCTCTCTCGCTCTCAGGGCATTTGGGTGGCTCAGTTGGTTAAGCATCTGACTTCAGCTCAGGGCATGGTCTCACAGTTCGTGAGTTCGAGCCCCACATCCGCCTGTCCGCTGTCAGCACAGAGCCGGCTTCGGATCCTCTGTCCCCCTCTCTCTCTGCCCCTCCCCTGCTCGCTCGCTCTCTCTCTAAAAAATAAAAAC